ACCAAACCCCTGCCCTCAGGAATCTTTTGCTCCAGGAGAGAGCCCAAGCACACCCTAGTGCTAGGAGGGGCGGTATGCTGTGCTGAATGCAGTTCTAATCCTGCAGGCTGCCTGCCCTGCCCTGCCCACAGCCTCCCCAGTCAGCCGGCAGGACTCAGGCCTGGGCAGCACCGCATAATATCACCCCCCACTTCCATGGCCACCCTGACTCTCTTTGAGAGGGCTGGGTGTTTCCCACGGTGTGCTATGAGGTTACCAGGGCCTGCGCCCAACCCGCAGGCCCCACACAAAGATGTAAGGAATGTGGGGCGCTCTGGGCCACTATGTTCCACTTGGTCTCTGATTCTATAATTCTGTATCTCTCCTTTCCGGTGGTTTCTGCTTGTTAATGCAGGGTCAGCAGAGTCCAGGGCGTTCTGACGACTGATAAAGATATGACCGGAATTAGGGAGACAGGACTTATCATGCCAGGGCCACCAGGAGTCAGAAATTCGGAAAGAAGTGAAATCTGGATTTACTTAGCAAAGCAATAACAAAAAGAGAAGGAGGCAACTGGCAGAATTTACGTTAGCTGTAGAAAGAACTTCACTGGATGAAAGGAAGATCAAATCACACATTGCGTTTGTTTGCATGCAGAGGAGTGGGTATCTGCCCAGATGTCACAAAATGGAGAGCTCCCTGCATCCTTAGATACCTCTCACCCCATCCCTCTCTCCCTCCTGTATGCACTCAGAACCACAGAGCACAACCCCGTACCAGCTAAGTCCCTGTTTTGCAGAGCCTGTGGCTGTTTGAAGAATCTCTGTGTTAACAGAGTTCAGCCCAGTTTTAAGAACTTGTCTAGAGTGCCTATGTGTCATTTTCTCAGCCTACTGATGACAAAGGAGCTCTAGTAACGTAGTGGTTTTGAGTCAGGTTGCTGACTTCAAGGTCAGCAGTTCGAAACTACCAGCTGTTCTATGGGAGAAAGAAGAAGCTTTCTGCTCCCATAAAGATCTACAGCCTTGGAACCCTATGCAGGGTCGCTGTGAGTCGGAAACGACTCCATGGCACATCACCACCACCATTGATGACAGTCGATCCTATCCTTTGTCATAGAGGTTGTCACAGTCTTCAGTCCATCCTTATGTGTAGATTGTGCCCTAGCTCTGCAGAACCTGTCACTGCTTGCAGAACATTTTTTTTTATTAACAGTGTATGCCTGTCCTAAGTGTGACAATTTCTACACTCTGTCTTTTATCAGAACCTGAGTCTCCTGGAACAATGTGTCCCTGTTAGTGTGTAAGATTTACTTAAATTACAGAAGCTATGGGGGAAAGATGAGGCTTTGTACTCCTGTAAAGATTGACAGTCTCAGAAATCTAAGAGACAGTCCTGCTCTGTCCTATAGGGTCACTGTGATGGCAGTGATTTGGGGTTTGTTTGCTCTGCATACAGAACCTCCCTCTGTCTAAGAGCTTACCAGGGCTGTTCTGTGGAGCTCCTCTTTTTGCCTAAAGATGCTGCTATCTCAGTTTGCAAAGCTCTGTTTCCAACACCTCAGGCTCTTGTTTCCTTTGCAATATTGTTGTTCAGTGCCACTGAGTCGGTTCTGACTCAAACCATGTATAGGGTTTCTGAGGAGCAGTTGGTGAGTTTGACGACCTTGAGGTTCAAACTGACCTTGTGGTCCAGTGCATTATCCTGCAGTACCACAAGTGTCTCTATCTCCAGAGCAAACACGTCCTTATTTGCAGAACCTTTATCTATTTGAGAGTCAGCCTGTTGCCATCTCCCTAAATGCAAGATGTGAACCGTATTTGTAGAACCTCGGACAGTTTGCAGGGCATTTGCCTGTTAGCACAGCCTATTTGAATTTCCTTGGGTAGAAACGGTGTCTACATGCAAGGCTTGCTCTTATGGCAAGTATATCCCTTCAGCAGTAAGCTGTGTCTACCTGGGAGCACCTGTGTCACACTGCAGTGCACATACCTGTTTGTAGAGTTTATGCCTGTCTGCACACTCTAGTCCCATTTCCATGTGCACCTGTTTGAGAGCCTGTCCCTATTGATACAACCTTTCCCAGTCTCCAGAACTCATCCTTTTCTCCTCAGCCTGCCCCTTGTCTGGGGCAATGTGCAGAACTCAGTTCTGTTTCAAGATCTTGCCCATGTCTGAGATTTGTACTCGTACACACAGCTTGTACTTGTACACACAGCTCTTTGCCTTGCCAGCTGATTTCAGCAGATCCTGTCCCTCTGTGGAGTAGCTGTCACCATTAACAGAGCCTGTCCATCTGCAGGGCCTTGTGAACATGTAAAACCTTCCTGTCTGTAGAGCCTTTGTATGCCGAGCCGATGGTTTTTTTTGTTGTTGTTTTTTTTACAAATCTCTTTGTAGAGTTCATGTTTTATTTGCCCGGCCTGTTACCATCTCCCTAAATGCAAGATGTAAGTTTGTATACAGAGCCTTAACCCTGGCTCTGTCTGAGAAGCATTTCTCTGCCTGAAGATGCTGTTCTTGTTTGTAGATCCTTGCCTATCTACATACCTGTCCAAAGCTGCAGAGCTTTATGCAAATAGTCCCCCTCTTAAAGATCTGTGTTCCATCCACATTTCCAGAGCCCTGTTTAGTCTGCAAAGCAGAGCCTGGGATTACTTGTCGAGCCTTTGTGAGTGTTCAGAATCTTTGCTAGTTTTCCCATCCTCTCCAGATTTCTCTGGGTAGAGCCTGTATCTCTGTCAGGCTGTCCTTCTAGGAAATCCATCTGTGTCAGAAGAACCTGTGCCTATTGGAGCACATAAGCCCCTCTTTGGAGTCTACCCTTTTTGTTAGAATTTGTTCTCATTGTAAAGCTTTTACCTCATTGTAAAGCCTTCTCTGTTTTAAGTCTGCCCTTGTTTGCAGAGCCTACCCTCATCTCTACAGTGCATGCCTTTCCACATAAGCTTTGTCCATTCCCATGTCCCATTTTTCTTTTTTAAAAATATATATATTTTTTAATGTTTTATTGTGAATTATGTGATAGTTTACATGGTAGAACATTTGTTTTACATTCATCCTATTGTATATTGTTTCTTTGCCATGGTTACAATCCCCTCCATGCATCTGTGCATCATCAACCAACCAAAGCCCGCCCCCAGTCCTCAGCACACAGTCCATCTCCCTCTCTGGGTCTAAAGTCCCCAGCTGCTCCATCTCTCCACGTCATCTTCTCTGTCTCCATCTCAGGTATCTCTGCTTCTCTGGGTAGGGTCCTGCTCTTCATTCTTTTCCCTTGATGGTCCCAGGGACCTCCGCTCCTAGACTGAAAAGTTAGTCACTCCCCTCCTTGCTACAAAACGTCAACCTTTACATTTCCAACCCTCACAATCAGTCCTGATCACAATTATTCACTGTTGTATCACAAGAGACCTATCTGCATCTCCTTTCATCAGCCCCGCCTAGACAGATTGGATACTACTCAGTGGAGATTCTACCTTCCTCCATGCCCTCTGGATCTAGGTTCCCTCTTGAAAGCTTCTTGCCTTTGTAGCCCCTCCATTTTGGGTAGCCAATGTTCAAGTTGCCCATCCATGTCTACTCTGTGTATAGAGGGCGTGGGAATGATCCTTGCTGTAAAGATTTGTTCCCTCTTTTGAGCTCCTGCATCCATAGGTGTAGGTCAAGTTCATCAAATTGTATCAGATTACTCTTTTTTTCCACTTTCTTCTTCTTCTAGTTGAGCTCTGATCATCCAACCATTGAAGCCAGGTCAAGTGGGTATTATCTGCAAGTGTGGGTGTACTTATGCTTATGCCCTCTCTTCTTATCTGCTGGACACTTCACTCTCCACTCTAGTCCTCTGTGGCTCTGTCACTGACTCTGGGCCCAAGAGTCCCCAGGTCTTGCGACATTGCTGGCTGACCAGGTCTCCACCCAGGTTCACAGGAGTCTATTGAACGTTGTAGGGCTTAGCTTGCAGTTTCACTGCTACTTTTCCCTCACTTCCCCTTATCAGTGACAAACGTGGTCACCAATCAGAGCGTGTATTCCCAATGAGTCTTAGTTTTGGAAGGGGGTTTGCACTGAGGGTCCATGTCCCATTTCTCTGTCTGGAGAAGCTGTCCCTGTTTGCAGAAACTGTGCCTGTTTGCAGAACATTTTTTCTATCCCCATAGCCTTCTCTCTTTGCAGGTGCTGAGTCTGCTTGCATAGCTTGTTCCTAACTGTCTGGGAGACCTGGGTCAGTGTGCCGTTCAATCCTTCTGTGCAAAGGCTTTCTGTCTGTAGAACCTTTGTATGCCGAGCCTGTCTTTTTTTTTTACAAATCTCTTTGTAGAGTTCATGTAAGACTAGGTCCTGTTTCAAGAGTCTGCCCCTGTTTGTCAGAAACCTTAATGGCCCCAGTGATTAAGCACTCACATACTGATCAAAAGATGAACAATTCAAATGTAGCGGGAGGTAGCACTCTGATTTTTAAAAGATGCGCAGTCTTGGGATCCCGATGGGGCTGTTCTACTCTCTTTCCCATAAGTTTGCAATTAATTAGTCAACATGGCAATAACAGTAACAGGGTTGGTTCCTGTTTACAGAGTCTATGCCTGCAGGCAGAATCTGTTCCTACAGTCTTTTGTCAGTAGAGACAGTTCTCTAGTCCTGGTGACTGTCCCTATATGTGAAATCAATCTCTGTTTGCAGAGCCTGTCCCTGACTGTAGATCTTGTGTCTGTCTGCATAACTCATGCCTAACTGTCTGCTCGCAGAGATTGTCCCCATGTTTAACACCTGCCCCTGCGTGTAAAACTCAGTCCAACCACAGACAAAAAAACAAGTCCCTGTTTGCAAAGCCTCTGCAGGCCAGTCAGCAATGCCTATCCTGGTTGTCAGAACCCTCTAAATGAAAGTCACATTTTGTAATGAAAGTGCTTTGGAGAACTGGAGGTGGGAAGAATTCTTGCTTGAGGCTCAGATTCCCGGTGAACTGCAGCCTGAGAACTCTGGCTCTTGTTCCTTGCTTCCTGCCCACTAACTGACCTAGGATGGACATCATCGACCAGGGCCTCCCAGCCATTGAAAGCCATAGGGCCCTCCACGTATGGATCATTGAGGTGAGAGACCTGAGCACACAGCAGAAATTATGGTACAGAGTGTGGGGTTCTTTAATATGAGACTTCTCTCCCCAACCCAGCGGTCCCCTGCCCACCCACCCCAGCTGGTATCTTGCAGGGATGGGGAGGGGTGAGGTCTCCTGAGTTGTCCCTGTGGACCCTCCTCTCTCAGAACCTGAAGATGATACCAGTACCTGAGAAGGCTTATGGTAACTTCTTCCAGGCTCACTGCTACGTTGTCCTCCACGTAAGTTATTTAGGGAGTCTGTCTGTGGGGGGTGACAAATACCCGCACCTAAGTTCCTCTCTGGGAAGAAGCAAGCTGAGAGACCCCTAAAGAGGCTACTGCCTTTGGAGGAGACCCTTCCCTTCCCCTTCATGGTTTCCTGGGTCAGTGGAAGCACCTGCCCAAAGCTGACCCCACCCCCAACCCCACACAAACATACACTTTGACCCCCCAGAGCCCGAAGGCCACCCAGGGGACATCCAGCGACTTGCACTACTGGCTTGGTGAGGCAGCCAGCTCAGAGGCGCAGGACGCGGCGGCTGCCTTCATGCAGCGCCTGCAGGAGGCTCTCGGCCCCAGAACAGTGCAGCACCGTGAGGCGCAGGGCCACGAATCTGACTGTTTCCATAGCTACTTCCGCCCAGGAATCATGTGAGCCCGGGAAGAGGGTGGAGTCATTGTGACCAGGACAGTGATGTGGGGGTGTGAGCTGGGTCCATTTGGGGTGACTGCCTCCTAGTCCAGTAATGTGATTGTGGTATTTGTGGTTTTGCTTTGTTTTTTCCTAGCATCTTTATTGAATACAATTCACATACTGTACAATTTGCATAATTCAGTGAATCATTCTGTGGTTTTTAGTATATTCAAGAACTCCGACCGCTGTCACTATAATCCATTTTTGAACATTTTTTAACCCCAAAAAGAAACTCCATACTGCTTAGCGCTCACTCCCCATCTCCTTCCATCGTCCCCCTCCTTATCCCTAGGCAACCATCAGTCTGCCGGACATACTGTGAGCCTCAAGGAGCAGATGATGGGTTTGAACTGCTGACCTTGTGGTTCACAGTCCAATGCTGATCCTACAGTGCCACACCAGGAGCCCATATATGCATATCATAATACATAAACACATATATACATGTAGAAACACACACTACTCCTATGTGTGCTCACCCAGAGATGATGTGCCTACACATATATATGGGTGTATATGCGCATTCCATACGCTGACATCTACACTCACATGAATAAACAATACTACTACACTCCCACACGTATGTTGATAAACAAATGCAGATTCATGCCCTCATGTGTGTCATCATGAACATATTCATACAGGTGAGGTATTCACATCTACTCACACCAATTAAACAGGCACACGCTTACCCCCACATGTGTACATGCATGAGCCTACATCTGTACTCATTTCTGTACATGACACTGTGTGCTTTTACATGAAAGCCCCCTCCCTCCTCAGCTACAGGAAGGGAGGCCTTGCCTCTGGCCTCAAGCATGTGGAGACCAACATTTACAGCATCCGGAGACTGTTGCATATCAAAGGGAGGAAACACGTGTCTGCCACAGAGGTGAGGGTCCCCAGGGAAGGCGCTTGACCCTGGACCTCGGGACTCAGCATGGACTGACTGTATGGAAAATATACGCAAGTGTGGAGGTTGGCAGGTGGACTGTGGGTAGTATGAAACAATGGGTGGTCAGCATTGCCTGATGGCCTGTTTTGAATGAGGAGGGAGGTCTCCAGGCCAACCTCTACCACTGTTTGCCTGGCCCTTTCTGGTTTCCTTATCTGTTTCATGGGCGTATGAATAACTTGGGAAGGTGAGGCTGACAAGATGGTAGCCTAGATGGTCCTTGAAAACAATGGGAAATAGCATCATTTGGGGTCTTCCCACTGTTAAGCTCAGGGTCCCTCTAGCCCATCTGACACCTTTGTACAAATTAGAAAAGGTGTCCCTTACTTCCACCTGTCAGGAAATTGTCACAAAATACTGATTTTCTTAGAACAAGACATTTTGCTGCCGTCTGGGAGGAACACTTAGGTGTGCAATATCTACCATGACAAAGGTAGCCCTTCAGTTGAATGCATGTGACCACCCGCACACTAGTCCCTGCAGACCCGGTGAGCATCCATCCCTCGTCATGCAGGGACGCCATGCAGACCTAAGTGTTACCTGGTGTCCTGAGGCTATCACTGTTCCAGGGCCACCTTTGATGCTCCAGAGTGTCTCACTGTGAATGACAACTCTCCCTACTTGTAAGAAAACACTGCCCCCACACACAGGCACACATACAATGTCACCCATGAGTGCACACACAAGTACGTTTTATGTGCCCACATGTATGTACATGTGTGATTGATATATATGCACCCATGTGTACACATGCTGTATGTTTGTTAAGTGCCATCGAGTTGTTTTGACTCATAGTGACCCTGTATCAGGTTTCCAAGTAGCAGCTGGTGTGTTTGAACCACTGAACATATGGTTAGCAGTGCAGTGCTTATCCTATAGTGCCACACCAGGACTTCTAGAAATGTCATACTCAGCCATTCACTCCCTGTGAAATGTGATTACTACAACCCCACATGCCTGGAGATACAGTGTCACAACCATGAGTGACCCTCAGAGTCAAACATGGTCACACAGATGCACATCTACACAGCCTGACAGGTGATGTCATGGTCACATGTCTACCCAGTTGCACACAGCTTCCTGCAGCCGTATTGACATGTCCATCTATAGTCCAGCTGACAGAGACAGGCAGTGATCTGGTGGGATGACACCCCATCTCTCTCCTGCCCCTCCTGACTGGCAGGTGGAGCTCTCCTGGAACAGCTTTAATCAGGGAGACATCTTCCTGCTGGACCTAGGCAAGGTGATGATCCAATGGAACGGGCCCCAAGCCAGCATCTCTGAGAAGGCGCGGGTCAGTGTCTGCCCTGGGGAGTAGAAGGTACAGGGCTTGGGAAGAAGGGTGGTCCTCCAGATGTCTGTCCTCCAGCCTCCCTGAGGGGTGGGCTTGGCTCACTTCTGCAACCTGAGAAGCATCTACCAAGTGCATGCTGAGTCTAGATCTTACACTGGTGATGGGCTTCGATGCCAGGATGAGGGGCACCACTTCCTTCTGACCCCAGCTTAGGGGGTGGATCTGGCTGGATTGAGGGGTGAGGGACACACTGGGGAAACCCTGACTGCCAAGCGCTCTCTCTCAGGGGCTGGCCTTGACCTGCAGCCTCCGGGACAAGGATCGTGGTGGACGTGCACAGATTGGTGTGGTAGATGATGAGGTTGAAGCCCCCAACCTTATGCAGATCATGGAGGCTGTGCTGGGTTGCAGAGTGGGTAGCCTTCATGACGCCATACCCAACCAGAGTATTAACCAGCTGCAGAAGGCCCATCTCCGCCTTTACCAGTGAGCAGACCTCAGGGGAGGGTGGAGAAGGAGGGAAATGTCCATCATGACTTCAACACAGTGTCTCTAAAAAGCCCTCCAGAAAATGCTCTTGAGTTTCTGGGCTAGACCACATGGGACTTTGGTCTCTGACTGAACTCTTGCATGTTGTGTAGCTACCTTGCTAAGAGACCCATTTAACAGTCAGGGATACTAAGGCTCTTCAGTAAGACTGCAGTGAAGCCAGAAAGCTCGGGACCCCAGCCTCCATTCCCTCTACCTGTCTTAGCCTGGAGGAGGTCCGGGTGGGGTTTGGCCAGGGAGAGCCTATGCTGTCCACATCTGGATGCTTGTATCCCAGTGTCTACGAGAAGGGTGAGGACCTGGTGGTCCAGGAGTTGGCAACCTGCCCACTGACCCAGGACCTACTGGAGGAGGAGGTGAGGCAGACTGGGCTCCAGCGACCCCCATCCAACAACCCCAGCCCAATCTGGACCACTAGTGACCATCCTCACTCTTGTTCCCAGAACTGCTACATCCTGGACCAGAGTGGCTTCAAGATCTTTGTGTGGTATGGCCACAGATACAACCTCCAGGATAAACAGGCTGCCTTCAGCCGGGCAGTGGTGAGGCCCTGGGGAATAGCCCTGCCTGGGGTCTGAGTGGGGAGACAGCCCTGCCTTAGAATTTTGTAGGGGGTAGTGCCGCCCCGGGGTCTCCGCTGGTAGACTTCCATGTCCTGGGAGGTAGTCTTGTCCCGGGGCTCTGAAACAGGATGCATTCCTGCCCTGGGAATCCTCTGTGATGATTGAGGACATCATCCTTCCCTGGGCTCTAGGGGAAGACAGCACCACCTTGTCTGACGGAGCAGACACAACTCATCCCAGGGGACAGGGGAAGACAAGGCCCCTCAATGAGATATGCGCACCCTGGGAGCCTTAACTGGGGGTGTGACCAAGCAACACCCTAGAAACCATGTGTAAAGTGGGACATGGCCCTATCTGTAGGTGTGAAGAGGCACCGTCTGCACTGGGCACCCAGTCCTTTCTAATGGGGTTAACAGGTCCCTGCCTAGAGTCTCATGTCCAGTCTAAAAGGACCCTACATCTCCTCAGAGGCTTCAGAAGTGAAGGAGTAGTGAAGGAGTCAGACATTAAGTGGGTTGTGAGGTCTCAGTGGCCCTCCAGCCTGGGAGGAGGTTTCCAAGGGGATGGAGCAGAGCAGCGAGCCTGACAGAGCCCCCACCCCAGGGCTTCATCCAAGCCAAGGGCTACCCGATCTACACCAACGTGGAGGTGGTCAACAGCGGTGCTGAGCCAGCCGCGTTCAGACAGCTCTTCCAGACGTGGACTAAGGAACAGAACCAAAGCAAGAAGCTGGGAAGGACTGGTGAGTGGGTGGGACCTGGCGGGGCAGCAGTGGTGTGCGGACTGGATGCCCGATGTGGAGGTAGGGACCAGTCACAGGCATTACTGACACTGTCTACCCCGCTCCTAGGTAAAGTGATGCAGATAAAGCTGGATGTGGGACAGTTGCACAGCCGGCCAGAGCTAGCAGCCCAGCTCAGGATGGTGGACAATGGTTCTGGGAAGGTGGAGGTGAGAGGAGTGCTTGCTCAGCCCCAGGAAGATGTGCACCCAGGGGGATTTCACCTACACATGAAGAGTATGACTGTATACCCACACACAACCAGACACACGTGCATCTCCACACCCTGCGGTCACACCTATCAATCCACAAGCATGGGCGCTCGCTTACTTACACTCACAGCACATGGCACTCAGCACACACAATAACACTCAGGAGATAATATAGACAGGACTTGTAACTGCACCTAATCACACACACAGTCCTACACAGTCACAGCCAAGAACACACCGCAAGCTTATATTTGCACAGACTACATTACGCATGAGCCAAGTTACATATAGCCACCAACCTACAGAGACACACCTCCACAGGTAACCCCACCCAACCACCAACAAACAGCCACACACGGTCAACCACTCATTCTTCTGGTGGTCTCAGCCCAGTGTCCTGGGACACATAGGGACTGGAGGCCACTTCCGGGCTCCATCCCAAACAAGGTTTCATCTTGAACTGAGTAGGACCTCCTGGTTTTTTTCTCATGAAAGTGGGGGCAGAGGCTGTGGTCCCACATGGAATGGAATGGGATGGTGTAAAATACGGGAGCAGGACTGTTGGACCTATGTGAGAGGCCCGAGTCTTGAGGTAGGAAGGCATCGGGAGGGATCTTGTTTCTCCAGATTTTCTTCTGCATCTGCCCTAATAGGGATGGACAGAGATGGTGAGTGGGAAGAGGCAAGGAGGAGACAAGGAGAGGGAATACTGGGAGAGACAGAGAGTAAACAGAGAGAGAAGAACAGAGCGAAGACAATAGCAGAGAGATTGGGAGGGCCAAGGAGAAATGGTATACATAGGAAGAAGGGAGAGAGGCAGGCAGGCAGATAGAGCAGGACAGGAAGATGAAGAGGTGGGCAAGAAATGGGAGGGAACTTTGCATCCCCAGGTCCCCAGTAGGCTAGTAGAAAGGCAGGCAGAGAGAAGGCTCAAGCTAGGAGGCCTGGATAGCATATGGTCTCTTGTATGGGAGGAGATGTTCCCCAGAAGCAGCTGCTGCCAGGTTCTGTGTGAGCCAGGGATGTCCCATCATTGTTTCTGCCATGTGGAGTCACAGTGAGATGGGGGATGTTGTTCCTGTTCTACAGGTGGAAAAAACTGACGCTCAGAAAGGTCTTGTTGCCAACATGAGGCAGAGCTAGGATTGGACTCGATCTGCTGGCTCCAGACTATAGTCTGCCACCCACAGGAACAACAAATCACACTGATAGTGTGAGGCAGCGTTATCCTTGCAATCTTTGAACAGGCTTTGTGTGTTTTTTAAGTGATACTGGAAAAAAAGAGTTTTTCCATGAGCCTTGAGGCCTCATTTCCTGTCTAGCTTCTGTTGCCTTGGCCCCTAGTACGGAGCCGCTGTGTGAGGAGCTGCTGGCTCTTACTGGGCTGTTGCTGGTGGGGCCTGGTCTGGCCCACTTCTACAGCTTCTAAGAGTCCTCCCCACTAGTCTAGCCCAGGCACCACATGCAAACAAACACAGAGAGCAGGCCGGAGCAAGTATGGTGAGTCCTATAGGTTCATGGGGCAAAGACTCACCTGCAGATCTTTGCTCACACCCATTATGAAGCTCTTGGTGGGCTCAGAGCTGGGACTCAGCATGAGGAATGCCACAGAACACTATAATTATTGGTTGGGCACAGGGTGGGATGGGGGGTCCAGGTGAAGGAGCCACTCAGGCCGATGGGTCATCTACCCCCCAGGTATGGTGCATCCAGGACTTAAGGAGGCAGCCCATGGACCCCAAGCATCATGGACAGTTGTATGGAGACACCTGCTACCTTGTTCTCTACACATACCAGAAGCTGGGCCGTGTCCAGTACGTCCTGTACCTGTGGCAGGTACGGTGGCCTAAGGGGGGTGGGGTGGGCACATAAAGCCCAAGAGCAAAGGTGCTGAGTGAGAGTGGGCGGTTGCAGGGTCACCAGGCCACCCCTGACAAGATTGAGGCCCTAAGGAGCAATGCGGAGGAGCTCGACCTCATGTACCATGGAGCGTTGGTGCAGGAGCATGTGACCATGGGCAGTGAGCCCCCCCACTTCCTCGCCATCTTCCAGGGCCAGCTGGTGCTCTTCCAGGTATGATCCACCTTGCCACTGTGGCCAAAGCCTCGCTAGCTCTGTGTGCCTTTGACCGGATACACACATGGTATACCTACATGCTATACACAGACCTGAGGCCCTTCTTCCCACTCCTTGTCTCCTGGTGCTTGTCTGAGGCCCAGGAACTCCAGGAATGAGCCCTGCCTGAGTTTCTTCCCCACATCCCCAGAGTCACACACAAAGCAGGAACACAGGTGAGGACATAGTTGAAAGGGAGCCAGGGCCTTGCCTGGGGGGGGTCACACACAAAGTCAGTCTCCACTTTCCCCATTCAAGGTCTGCAGAGCGAAGCCTTGACCCCACAGAGATGGGGTAAGGAGTCCATTTAGAAAGGGCTCTGACAGAATCCTCAACTCAAAGGGTCCAGAAGACAGTGGAGACTTAAAACCAGGGTCCCCTGAGCCCTAAAGCAGTTTGTCCCACACTGGGGAAAAGAGGTAGCCCCCTTCCTTGCCTCAGCCTGAGGGCCATCCCTCTTTTAGGGAGACACGAGGCACAATGGGAAGGGACAGCCAGAATTTGCCACCCAGCTCTTCCATGTACAAGGCACAGAGAGCCACAACACCAAGACCATGGAGGTGCCAGCCCGTGCCTCGTCCCTCAACTCCAGTGACGTCTTCCTGCTGTCCTCCACTGGTGTCTGCTACCTGTGGTTTGGGAAGGTATCCCCAGCACTCACTTCAGTCACCCGGGGGTCAGTGGTGTCAGGCCAGAGTTGGGTCCACTTCATGAGGGCTGTAGACCGTGAGTGGAGCTTCAGACAGGCATGGAGGGTGGAGTAGGGCAGGGGTCACACGGTGCCCCCTTGGGGAGTTACAAAGGGACAGGTGGGCCTAGGAATTCACATGTCAGAGCCAGGCCGGGCCAGGCCAGGTACCCTTTCCCCCTCCCCTCCTTCCAGCCTTGGATAAGGGGCACATCCCTCCATGCATCTTTCAGGAGAGGGATGCCTAGTCCCTCCTGTTTGCTAGAGCTCTTTGCCGCCCAGCCTGGGGTCCTTCTGCTATGAAGGGCTCTGACTCTGTGACTGGACAAGGAGATTAGACCTAGAGGGGAAGAAGGGAGATTCATTGCTCATGTGTGCCCTTCCATTAGCTCAGGCCTCCTGTGACTTGGGCCCCTGGACAGGGTGGGGAGTGTCCCCTTCCCTATGCAGAGCTTCACCTAGCTCTTTGCCTGCCAGGGTTGTAGTGGTGACCAGCGTGAGATGGCACGGATGGTGGCTGCTCACATCTCCAGGAAGAACAAGGAAATAGTGCTGGAGGGTCAGGAACCTCCCTGCTTCTGGGAGGCGCTGGGAGGCCCAGCTCCCTACCCCAGCAATAAGAGGTACCTGTTGGGAAGAGCATCCCCTTTACATAGAGGAAGAAACAGGCTCAGAGAGGGTGAGTGGTTAATTAAGAGTCACACAGAGAGCTGAAGAGGCAACACTAGAACCCAGGTCTCCTGAACTCCTACCCCTGGGGCTTACTCCCCAGTCCTCAGAAACTTGGATCAGGAAGACACTGAAGAGAATGGTGCTACTGGTGCCCTCTGCTGACCAAATCTGCTCTCTGCACCAAATCTGCTTTCTGCACCTTAACCATTCCTGGATCTCAAGGATCCTCAAGGGATCATCTGGCTGTTCCCACCTACTGTCCCCAGGGGGTGGGGTGCCCAGTGTGTGTGCATACAGAGAAATATGATTGGTATGTGGGTATACGGTATGTATGTGTTGTTTGTGAGAACAGGATGATATGATGTGTGGGTATACAGTGTGTGTGTAGGTGCGTATGTGTGGTGTGTAAGAGGAAAGGGGGTGTGTAGGCAGGTGTAGCTGAGGGAAGCCTTAGGGAAGAAGGGAGGTGAGACCTAGGCAGCTCTCTGTATGTCTGTGGGGCCTAGTTTATGCGCAGCACCCCCCTCCCCTACGTCTGCTAGTTTAGTGCTACTATTCCCCACCTCCCTGCTCTAAAGGCATCCTGCAGAATTGGGCAGGGGCTCCCCCTCTGCCACTGTGGGCAGGCCTCCATCTGCCTCCTTCCTCAATGCCCACCCTGTGTCACAGCTGGAGGGGGCAGCTAATTTGCTCTCCCCTAAAACAGAAAGGAGACACCGAGCCCAGAGAAGAAGAGGATGCACTTGGAGCCAGTTGTGGAGTGCATGGGGCTGGGAAGAGGTTGCATCCTAGCCACTGGGGTGGGGGCATCTGGGCTGGGGTGGCCCACGTACCCTCATGGCTTGCTGCCTACCCTGGCCAGGCTCCCAGAGAAGGCCTCCGACTTCCAGCCACGACTGTTTGAGTGTTCCAGCCTGATGGGCTGCCTGGTTCTCACGGAAATGGTGTTCTTCAGCCAAGACGACCTGGACAAATATGATGTCATGTTACTAGACACCTGGGAGGAGGTAAGGCAGCCACTTCGGCCTGGCTGGGTGTGAGTGGGGGGTATCTGTACTTGTGTGCCTGGGTGTGCACTTGTGTGCCTGGGTGTGCACTTGTCTGACTGTGGGTATAAGGCCAAGGATCCGTCTCACTGTGGGCTGACAGCAGGTCAGACTACAAGAGACCACGCCTGCGTGCTTGGGCTGCTGTGGTTTGTGACCATTTATGTAGGAGTTGGTGTGCAACTCTCTGTACCTTATGGTGGTTGTGTGACTCTGGGTGACTGAGTGCTCATGGTGAACATGAGCTGAGTTGATGGACAGACCACATCTGGATGTGAGGGGCTGTAGGTGATACTGCGTGACTGCATTTGCCTTGTGTGTGTGTGTGTTAGGAGCTGACGGTGTCTGGGACTGGGACTGGTGGTGTTGTGAAAGGCTGTGTGTGACTGTGTGACAGGCTGCCTGCAGGTGAGTGACTCTGATCCATTGTATTGTGTCACGCTGTAATTGTTCCCTTGTGACTGCACTGGTTCCAGACGACGTAAGACCTGGGTGGATGCCCTGGTGTCGCTGAGCGAGATAGTGATGATGTACAACTGTGTAGCCAGGAGATTGTGTTTGTCATTGTGTATGTGTGTGGCTCTCTGTGGCTATGTGTGTATGCTGATGAGGCTTGTGGGTGGCCATCTTATTCAGAGTAAAAGTCAACGTTATTACTATAGCCTACAAGACCCAGTGTGACCTGTCCCTCACTCTGCCCATCACTCTTTCTACGCCAGCCACTCTGGCCCCCTCAAGTTCTGTGAATATTCCAGGCACGCCCCTTACTCAGGGTCTTTGTATTGCTTGTTTCTTCTGTTGAGAACCATGTCCCCTCAGACATACACACGACTTGCCCCCTCCCCTTCAGACCTGTTGTGGGCTAATGCACCAGACTGCAAAGCTGTTTGAACTGCAAGGTTGGCAGTTCAAGCTCACCAGCTGCTCCTCAGATACCCTATATAGGGTTGCTGTGGGTCAGAAATGATTCGACGCCACCTAAGAACAACAGCATCCTCATGCCCTAAATTTTTCTCCATCTGATATACTACAAGGTGCCCTGGTGGCACTGTGAGTTAAGTGTTGGGCTATTAACCACCAGTCATTTTTCAAACCCACAAGTTCAACCCTCAGAAGAAAGATGAGGTGGTCTGCTTGGGTAAAGATCTAGTCTCGGAAACCCTCGATCTGTTCTCCTCTATCTGTAGGGTTGTTTGTTATGTGTCAGAATTGACTTTACAACAGTGAGTCTGCTTTAGTGGTTTAGATATACTACATATCTGACTTATTTGCTTAGTTTTTCTGACTCCACCAATAAAATGGGAGGGCAAGATTTTTTTTTTCCCTCTTCTCTCAGCATTCTGTAGGTAATTTTTTCTGTAGGTAAATTCTGCCTTCAGTTTTAAATGGTTGATCATTCTGTGGTAAGCATACCTCACTAGTGTTGTTCCCCTTACATACCATCTACTGCCTGGCTAAACATTGAGTTTATGAGAGTGGGTTCAGTTCCTGAAGGATAGCCAACGGTCATAGTCTCAGGGGTCCACCAGTCTCTTTCTGACCAGTAAGCCTAGTTGTTGTTTTTTTTTAAATTGTTTTGAAGTTTTGTCCCACATTTTCTCCCACTCTATCTAGGACCTTCTAATGGGATCCTTTTCAGAGCAGTTGGTAGGGGTAGATGGGTACCAGCTAGTCCTTCTGGTCTCAGAGTGGTGGAGACTGATATTCACATGTTCCATTAGTCCATTGGATGAATTGATTCCAAGCATCTTCTGTTTTCATCACTCTTCTTTTCTCCACACAGGGAGAGACCAATAGTTGCATCTTAGATGGCTGCACATGAGCTTTTAAGATCCCAGTCACTACTCACAACAGTAGAATATAAAACATTGTCTTTGTGGACTGTGTTATGCCGGTTGACCATGGTGTCCTCTGAGAAGGCAGGAACTTACCTTTTTCCCCATTGTGGAATCCCCAGTGTCTAGAACAGGGCTTGGCACACAGTAGGTGCTCAGTTCATGGAATGAACACCTGCATGCCTGTGGCCTGATGGGAGTTTATGGGGGTGTGGAGATGACAACCTGCAGCATACCTGCTAGACAGGGAAAGTGTGTGGGCTTCTGAGACCATCTGATGGACAGGGGCAAGGAGGAGGTGGTCAGCCTCAGGCAGCCCCTCCACTAGCCCCAACACCACATCCTCTCTGTGGCCCAGATCTTCCTGTGGCTCGGGGAAGCGGCAAACGAGAGGAAGGAGGAGGCACTGGGCTGGGGTCAGGAATACCTGAAGACCCATCCAGCAGGGAGACGCTCAGCCACAACCATCGTGTTGGTCAAGCAGGGCTTTGAACCTCCTACCTTCACTGGATGGTTCCATGTCTGGGACCCCTACAAGTGGACCGTGAGGCCTGAAACCCCCAGTCCCACCCTAATCCTAGGCAGAGGGGCCTACCCATGGCAGGCTGAGGGAGGAAGCATTGCCCTGTCTAGGGACCTCCAGTGTGGGTGGGGGAGACCTGGCCTTATCCTCAGGCCCCCTCCTGGGTCCCACTGTGCCCCTCTCCTGCCCCAGCCCTGATTCTTGCCCCCAGAACAGCCATCCCTATGAGGAAGTGGTGGAGGGCAGTCTGGGAGCAGTGTCTGACATCTCTAAGGTAACAACAGTAAGTAGCAGGGCCTTCCCACAGTGCTCTCTGCTCCTGGGCTCCGAGGACAGGGAGGGGGTCAGACCCTGCTAGGTGAGAGGAGTTGCAATTGGGGGCAAGAGGTCCAGTGGTCTGTGTGGCAGCCCTGTGGGTTGCCCATCCTCATTGTCCCCAGACTGAGGCCCCTCTCTGGGCAGGACATCAACCACTTCCGGCTGTCCAACTCATCGGGTGATGGCACACCAGGACCCTTGGCCCGACCGGCTCTCAAGAGCTCCCAGGATGGCTCAGAGAATGAGCTGGAGGTGGGCCCCAAGGTGGGCAGTGCCAACGCCAGCCCCAGCACTAGCACCAGCAGCTACTACACCGGGACCAGCTCCATGATCAGTGGGGTCCTGCCCCGTGAACAGCTCATGTACCAGGCCGCTGAGGACCTGCCTGAAGGTGTGGACCCGGCCCGCAAGGAGGTGGGTGCCCAGAGCCTCTGCCGCACATGACCCCAGACTGAGACCCCTCTCGGGGAAGGAAATCAACCGCTTCTGGCTATCCAACTCATTGGGCCTCTAAAACTGAGCTGAAGGGAGCCCAGGTGGGGCCCAATGCTGGCAGTGTACCGGCAATGGCTCAGGCTGCCTGGGGAGGTATACGTTCTAGATGCATTGGTGGGCAGACAAGTGTGGGAGACCCCTGAGCCCTGGAATGACCAGCTCAGATAACACCCTTCTCCCTTACACGTACCCCCCCAGTTCTACCTCTCAGACTCTGACTTCCAAGCTATCTTTGGGAAGTCCAAGGAAGAATTCTACAGAATGGCCAAGTGGAAGCAACAGCAAGAGAAAAAGCAATACGGTTTCTTCTGAACCCAGCCTCCTGCCCTGCCCCACCCCAAGGCAGGCCCGAGACCCTGAGGAGACCCTGCTTACACACACCACCCTCACAGGTTCTTGAATCACCCCCTAACTTTGTGAGTAAAAATGTATAGTTCATACAAGGCATGGTGTGTGTGTGGTCTGGAGCCTGGTTCATTCATGAGGCCTGCATCTCAGGGGCCTCCGGGGCTAGGAGTGCCTTACCACCACAGAAAAGACTAAACTCTGTATTCTGCTCCGGAGAGAAAGCTCCCATGGTCCCTCCAGACCAGGGAGACAGACAGTCTGAGTGAGTGAGGGGAAGGTGGGGAATGGGGAGCTGGGTCCAGTGCTCCAGAACACACACATGCACGTACCTCACAGGTTGTGTACATCACACAAAGTTGCTGTGACTTGGAGATGACTCAGTGGCAACTCACAACAATAACAAACAGGTCAGAGCACCATCCGCAGGGCTTAATTTGATAATTTTTATAAAAATCCTCAACCCAGAACTGGCCAGAGGGCAGAGAGGGCTGCAGCGTGCTCCTAACGGAATTGAGGGCAGCTCCTGGGAGCCTGGAGAGGCAGCAGTATGGACAGTGTTCAAGCTGAAGGCAGTATGGGGACCTCTAGCTCCCAGAGATTGGGAGCAGCCACACCAGCCTTGCTTGTCACCAGGGATAGACAGAGGGCCTGGCCTGCTTGAGGCAACCCCAGCAGATTTCCCAAGCCTAGTCCTGGAGAGAGATCTTCACAAAAAGCGTGGCGGATGGATGCTGGTCTCCATTCTTGGACAAGAGGTGGATGTGGCGGTATCCTGGTAGGCGGATGGGAAGGAAAGTGGACAGCAGCAAGGAGCACACAGGGAGAGAGTCAGAAGAATGCCCCAAGGGACAGCCAGCCCCAGCCTCGGAGATGCCAGGCCCTGGCTCTCTCCACCCTGGATGCCCTTCCTCTTGACAAATACTCACCCTGCTTGAGGCTGCTCAAGGGGATGGTGGTCTGTCCAATGAAGTCGTTCTTGGAAGAAGTATCGTAATCCTCCACCACAAAGCGGACAAGGGCAAGCTCAGGCACAAATATTGTAAACTCAAACTCCGTATTCCACTTGGGGTTGAAACCTAAGGGAACAGTGCACCATTTCAGCAACAAGGACATCAGCTGCAATGACTGAGCCCAATCCAGGTCCAGCACATACCATTATTGGTGACAACAGCAGTGTGGCGGCTAGCTACGTCCCGGGCCATGCCATGGATCTCCACTATCACCTTGGGGTCCACAATTGAATTCTTGTTCTTGTTAACTTTTGGAAGCTGTTGCCCAGAGATAATCTGAGGAAAGGCAGGGGACAAATAAGGGCCCAGGAGTGATTGTGAGCAGGAAGAGAAGCCCACGGGTCCCTGACCCTCCCGTGCCCCTTCATACTCTGACAATGAGCCGCTTCTGAGTCAACCAGGGCCCCTGAGACAGCACACGTGGGTTGAAGGTGGAGTTAGGGTCTCGCAGGAAGGCAGGCTTCAGCACGTACCCACAGGCCCCATTGTCCTGGAAGCGGCCCTGGTACACGTCCATCTCCAGTCCAGGTGTCTGGAAGTTCAAAGCCACTACAGGCAGGAAGGACAGTCACAGGCTGGAACCGGGTTTCCAGGGCCCTTGAGCCCTGCCCACTCAGGGTACCCTGAGGTCTAGGTCAGTGGGTAGCCAGAAGTAGGGTACACCCCTATTCTTACTGCCCTCCTGTTACCCTAACTGACATGCTTCATGGATTGCATATTCAGTTTCTGATGTCAGAATTCAAAGGACTGTTGTGCCAATGGTGGGATTTAGACACTGTGACTTACTGGTAGGGTATACAACCTGAGCCTGCAAGCCCCTGTAGCCAGCCCTGCTTGGGACCCCAGACCTCCTACTGCATGGCCCCCAACCCTCCAGGTCTCTTGTCCTCAGGCTTGATACCCACTTCCAAGCCTCCCCAGCCTCAGCCAGCCCCTACCAATCTGGCAGCCGGCATTCCACATGTCCACGGGGTTGTAATTGGAGGAGTCGGTTCTCCAGCCGGCAGGGTAGATCCTGCTCAGGTGCCCCACGTTGTGGAGGACAAAGTTGTTTCCTGAAGGATGCAGGAGAGTTAGAAGTCGGGGCCTCCTAGTGAGGCCTGAGCCCCTGCCCACTAGTTCTGACAACAGAACACAGAGTGCCAACTATGGGCAATCTGAGGGGCGGAGAGCCAGCCTGGCCGTGGCCAGCCTAGATGTCCAGACAGATGGACAGCAACGTCAGGGTGCAGAACAAAGACTCACCCGCTTCTTGGAGCAGTCGGAGGGCACGGTTCTCAGAGAAGGATGCCATCTCGTAGAAGGCCTGTCCGGGGGTGCCAGGCCTGGGGAAGCCCGCAAAGTGGACACTCTTGCAGTAAATGACCATGTTGGAAAGTTCCATCACTAGCCTGAGCCTGTCCTCCTGAGGGCCACGGGGAGGCCCAGGTTAGATTCAGAGGTTGGAACAGGCTGGGCACTGAGAGTGCCAGAAACCCAGAGACAGACAGACAGACAGAAGGAGACAGACAGAGAGAGGGGGCAGAGGGTCTGAGCGGCAGCCATAGAGCCCGGAGACTAGGCAGGTATCCCACAGGGTAATGGTGGGGGGAAGGACCCCAGGGCTGCCCGCCCAACAGCTCCCCCTCGGACCTTGGGTTTGTGCTGCACGTGACTCCTCACTGCCTCATCCTCCATCTCCGCAGCCTCGTCCTCATCTGACACCACCGTGGCCTCAGGGCCACCTTCCCCTTCAGGGGGCAGGAGCCCCCCAAGTTTCTTCCCCTTAAGAAGGATCTTGCCCTTCAGTTGCTAGGGAAGGAGAGGCAGCTGATCAAAACCACCTGGCCTCCCAGCCAGTCCTGAGGTCCTGTCTTGGGGGTGCCCATATTCCCACCACACACCTCGGGGGAAGGCAGGCTGCTGGTGACACCATCCAGTTGGTGGTCCAGCAGCATGGTACCCAGGATGGTCCGCAAGTGTCGTGCCATCACCCGCTGCTGCTCTAGGTTGCAGTGGTTCTCCAGGGACAGGATGACGGGGTAGGGAGATGCCTGGGGGGCCCAAGGGCATGTTAGGAAAAGGTGGGCACCCCCAGTGTTCTTCTCCTTCCCCACAAGGGGTGCGCCTACCTTGAAGGCGTAGTCCCGGATGGCCCTGACCACGTCGCAGAAAAGGATCTTGGAGGTGAAGGTGTAGCCGTGGTAGATGATGGGCTCCAGGTTGGGCCCATCCCAGCAGTCCAGCTCCAGGCAGCGGCAGCCTTTGCAAAGAGCCCTGTGGGCAGAGAAGGCAGCAAGGACCCTCAGGCCCTGCCTCAGCGCCCCCTCGGGTCCCCTGCCTCAGACCACCCGCCTCAGGACCCACCGGATGTAGGCTTCCGTGCTGCTGGGTCCAGTGAGCTGGTCCTCCAACAGGTAAGTATTGTGTGAGGAGGACACCAGGTAGTGGCTGAGTGGCTGGCTCATGTCTTGGTAGACTCGTCGGTGTGCCAGGCTGAAGGCATTGCCATCCGCAGACAGCAGGTACATGAGAAAGCCATCCTTGGTCATCTGCTGCTTTGCCTTGGCTGGGAAAGAGAAGACCACCCCATCTAAGCCTTCCACCATGAGTATCCCACCAGACTATGACTACCTCAGGGTGGGAACCTGTCTCCTCCTCTGTCTTCACACTGTTGTTGTTGTTGTTGTTATGTGCCATGGAGTCGGTTCCGACTCATAGCGACCCTGTACAGGGTTTCCGAGGCTGTAAATCTTTACGGGAGCAGAGGAACAGCTGATAGTTTCAAACTGCTGACCTTGCGGCTCGCAGCCCGATTCATAACCACTACGGTAGCAGAGCTCCTTTCCCCACACTGTAAGGCCCCCCTAAATACCTCATCTGCTGTCTCCGTGCCCACAGACCGAAAACCTCTCCCTGCCCAGAGCAGAGCCCCATGTCTCCTTTTCTGTCACCTTTCAATCCATTGGCCCAGGCAGAAAAATGCCTGCTTTTCCAGCCACCTCTCTATAATTTCTTTACCATGGGGAGACTGGCAGGCCTCGAAATCCCTGCAGGAGGAACCAAGAGGGAAACTGAGGCCCAGTGAGGAGTAGGGATGCTGAAGCCCTGCTTCCCGTCTGCCTGTCTTAATGGGGCAGGCCAGTAGTGGCCAAGCAGCTAAGGGCTGGATGAGACAGTCTCCCCAGGCCCCGCACCCCAGGCCCTCACCAGTTTCGTTGGGCTCATAGCGCTCTATGATGGACAAGGCTAGTGCAGGGCCCGCAGCCTCTTCCCGCTGCTGGTGTTTCAGGAATGTCACCAGCCCATCCACTGACAGGGTCTCCCCAGAGCCCGCAGCCTTGGCAAAGATGTCATTGATCTCCTCCCGCTCGGTCAGCATCTTGTAGAAAGCCTCAATCTCGTCATCCTCCAGAGAATCTGTCTGGGAGCTATCACATTCCTACAAAGCCAGGATAGTTAAACGGGCAGGGCTCAGAGACAGCCTCTAGCCAGGAGCAAGGATGCCATTGCACCTGACCCCGGCCCTCACTTCCGGCCTCACCCTGAAGATCTTCCGGGCATAGCTGTCATCCACCTGGATGTTGAGTTCCTTCAGGAAGTTCTGCAACTCCTTGAAGTTCATCTTGTTGTCCTTGTTTTTGTCAGCTTTTCGCAGGCAGGAGTGAATCCAGCTAGAAAAGGTAAGGAAAACCCCCGGGGAGTCCTGGTACCTCCCTGAAGTCCCAGCCAGAGTCAGTTCAAGCCTCGGGCCAGCCACCTGGAGAAAAAGCTTCCCACAGATACTTATTTCAGCAACAAGACCTCTTGGGTGGAACTTGTTACTAACTATTAAGAACTCTTTTTCTATTTGTAAGGATATCTGGTGGCACTGTAGGATAAGCACTGGGCTACTAACCACAAAGTCAGTGTGGTTCAAACCCACCAGTCACTCCGCTGAAAAAAGATGAAGTTCTCTGTTCCCGTAAAGATTTA